ACGTTCTGATCATATAAGTATACATTTTCATGGGTCTATCTCTTTTTGTTCTGGTACTTACAAACATCGGACCAAAGTTATAATACCATTTCATGCTCATGAAAGGTATAAAAAATATAATAATAGTAATAATGAAAGGTCTGGCATCTTCCGATAATTTTAATTTACTTTGCTGTTCGTTTTTGTCTCAATAAAACATAAAAAAGTGCAGGCATATTTATCATTTTTAAGGAAAACTTTCTGAATATGCGGAAGTTGCGATTTTATCGGAAGTGTCGGGAACGAACTTTGGTCCCGTCCCAAACAAAAAATTTTTACAGACCTTCCCGATACCGCCCATCTCGGCTAATTTGAAATCAGTACCGTGGGTCCCGCTAGTCCCGATATCCCGCGCCCATCTCTAGTGTCAGGTTTGTCAAAATGAGTCATGCGGTTGCGTTAAATGAGACACAGATATAAATATACATACATATGTATGTCAATACATACATACAAATGTAAGCAAGCAGGCTGTCCACGTTGTTTTGGAAAGCGAAAGTTACAGCCTTAAAGTGCGGTTAAACGTGGCAATGCAAGCGGTTTTCCTCCGCAATTTCCTGCCAAAATGTGAAATCGAAAGTCCAATTTCCCGTGTAAACAGCCAGAAAGTCCATTTTGCAGTTTTTCAGAAATCAATTTCGGAAATAAAAGTTGCAAGGTGTAACACCAACTGAAATTACCCAAATCGATTTCGAGAAATATGTAGTTTCGACTTGCTCGTGCGGCACTCGAATTTTCATTTCTGCTGCAAGTGCTGTCAAACCAATCGAGTGTGGCCGTGTGATGCGATTTTTGGCGAATTTGTACAAAATTTTATAAAAATTGCGTCACATATAAAAAAAATACTTGTTATTAATTTACTGTTCTGATATAAACTATTTAAATATCAAAGCATTGGATATTTTGCGGCTAACTTGTGCGCATTTTAGCATTTTTAACAAATTTTTTCGTTCAGTAATTTTGTTATAAGCACAAAAATGTTTGGTAACATACACGATTGAGAGAATACAAAGGTTGCGCCGATCTCGGACCGCTATTCCTCTCTTAACGAATTTGACAGAATCGTTGTTTGCATGACGTCAAAAATCCTCTCTGATCGGCGCAATCTTGTATTCTATCATTCTTGGGTAACAGACATAGTTGAAAGTAGAATTGTCTGTATTCATCGTGTAAACAGACAAACAGTAGCATCGGAAACTTTGATTTTCAGAAATAAAAACTGTTTTCGAAGCCACTTTACATGTAAGGTGTAAAGCTTAAGCTCCATAGCAGGTTTTTCAGGCGTTGCGGCTTGAGGCGCTCAAACCTGAAAGATGATTTAGTGCAATTGTATAGAAGCTGCTCCATAACCAGAGTCTGAAAAGCCTGAAAAGCCTGAAAGATGCCAAATTTCGGACTTGTTTCGGGCTTCGCAGGCTTTTCAGGCGTCGTCTGACAGTTACGCATTCGAACATTAGTTGGTTGGTTGGTAGAAGCGTTCCCATGACCCAATTAGTGCTGAAAGCACCATTTTGATACGCTTTCTCTGGCACCCCTGATTTTATCTGCTTTCATGATTCGTTGGGTTCGTCAAACCATTTGGATTTTCCGATGAATCTATTTAGGTTAGTAATGGTGAATTTGGGAATTTCTACAAGATTTTGGATGGAAAACCTCCCGAGTGTGATCTGCCTTATTTTATTTGTGCCAATGCTGGGCACTCGCAAAGATAGTGAAGAACCGTTTCCGAGGGTTATTCGGAAGGCCCATTCTAGCTGCATGTTCACCAATGGGACAATGTCCCGTTATCGTGGCTATTAATTTTACTATATCTTTCCTCGAGCTCTTGAGAAGTTCTTCTGTCTTTGGCTTGTCATAGTGCGGGCGGCCATATGTACCTCGCAGTTTTGCAGGTTTGAAGGTTATTTCACGTGTGAATTGCAGATGCAGTTTCCTTTTGATGAGTCCGAGTGGACAATTTATAGTTTCTGCTTCGGATTCATCCAAAGATGCTCCGGCCTTAGCCAACTCGTCAGCCCTCCCATTTCCGTGTATGCTCCTATGGCGGGAACCCAGATGAGAGTGATGTCTATTAACTCGGCCGCCGAGCTTAGCGCACATTGGCAATCTCTTACTGCTTTGGATTTTGTTACCGGTGAGTCCAGTGCCAAAAGTGCCGCTTGGCTATCGGAAAAAATTTATGCTTTTCGTACACCTACGCAGTTCCTCTCTAGTGCTTTACAGGCCCTTTCGATGCCCAGTGCCTCCGCTTGGAAGATGTTAGCAAAGTCAGGTAGTCGAAACGAGAGAGAGACATTCAGCGTTTCAGAGAACCCCCCCGCACCCACATCGCAGTCCATTTTGGACCCGTCAGGATAGATTTCAGTGGAATTCTCCTCGACTATCCTGCCCCTACTTTTGAAGGAAATTTCACCTGAAAGCTGAAATCTGTCGTAGGAGGTATATAATCTGATTGTTTCCCTGATTCGATAACCTTGTCAAGAATACCACTATGGCCATGCTGCAGCAAAAAAATGATTTTATTTATTTTTTTATATTAAAAATTTCTAAACTTCAAAGCGTTTATAAAAATATATTTACAAATATCCACGGATGATTTTTAATTTTTCTCATCCGTAGGCAAATCTTCAGTACCATAAAAAGATTCAAACACATCAAAGTACAAAGAATGCGATGTCCCATTTAGTGCTACTCCACTGTACATGTGCATATGTATGTCTGAATGTATGCGTGTAAATATGTCAACTCAAGTTTGCGTTTAACCTATTTTGGCGGACATAGTTTTTTTGGTTCCAGCTGGTTCCAGCTGTTAATGGAACACAATTTTTATGGTTAATCTTCATGAAAGTTACATGTATCGTCGGGAATATGTTTACATGCAGACTTTTAAATAAATTATTCTTATTCTACATAAAAAATGTACGGGTTTTGCTTTATTGAATGCAAATTTATGCGAAAATCTAAATATTTCGTAAACATGGGGTTAATATTGGGCGCGCTACGTGCCAATTCGCAGAAATTGAATAATTTGATTTGAAGGGAGCGGCGAGGGGAAGACGAAAGCAGACCAATCGTACATTTGTACGTATATATATGTATGTATGTATGTATATTTACAAATGCATGTGTACATATGTATGTACATACATATTTATGCGTTTGGCTTTTTGCATGAATAGAAAATTTGATTGCAGGAATAATTCTAATAAAATAAAGTTAACAAATACATATGTAGATACAGTATATTTTGCTAAGCTGCACATCCTTCTTTTCACGAAAAACTTGTGCACTTAACCGGAAAACGCACTTAAGCGAATTTTCTTTACTATTTCAATGAGGAAGGTATCCGAATCCCTATGAAACCAAATAATGGAGGAGCACTTACCACGTAGAAATTACTACAAGCAAAATTTTTTACATTTTAATTTTTTTTTAATATTAATATTTTTTTTTTACGTTCTCTGTTCATGCAGCACTATATCCAGTGTTGCCGCGAACATTTTTAGTGGTAGCCAAATTCCATTTAAAAAGGGCTAAAGAGCAAAAAAATCGTTGTGGCAAAAAATGGAAGCTAAAATTGTTTACTTACATATATGTATATATATATAAATATAATACTCGACACAAGCTTGCTGGTACCATCAAGTGATTGTACCGTCAGGCTCGAAGCATATAACATACCAGCTTGCTGATACAATATTTATTTCTTTACAAATGAGGTCCAAAAAAGACCAAAATGATTAGAGCCGAAATCTCATATTTTTCCACAAAAATGGCTTTGACTCATTTTAATTTCAGTAAAATACTTAATTTCGGTAAAATTTTCGGTAAATTACTTTAAAAAAAAGAGTTAATTTCACTATTCGCGATACCAGCATGCTGGTACAATCATAAAATTTTGAAATCGTTTTTGATGTCGCACCAGCAGCCGGTACAATCACACCACAAGAACATACACGGTCAATCGGTATCATCCATGGGCCCTTTAAGCATATATGGGGCTCTATTTTAAAGTATAGTTAAATCTTTAATAGATAAACTAACCGTCCTAACACTTTTAGTTTGTATAAAAACGTAAGGAACATACAATACATATACACGAATACACATACATATATATATATATATATCAGAGTCTTTCTTAGTTTAAAAATTCATCTCATACATAAATGAAAAAATTAGATCAAATTAAGCATACAATACATATACAACTTTTCATGTCAAGTAAGAATAAATTTTCCAATGGGCTAAAAAAAGGTCTAGGGGCAGTTTTAAATTTACGGTGCCAAAAAAAGTATGTGGTAGCTAAATTTAGCCACCAAAGGGTTAAGGCGGCAACACTGACTACATCATCTTGTCATCAGGGCTGCCACCTTCGCTTAAACCGTGCACTTAATTTTTCAATTTGGCACAAAGTGCCAAAATGGCACTTTTCAAAAATATTAATATTTCAAAATATTTTTGTGAAATCCTTTGCGTGCACTTCTTTTTCTGAACTAAAATTATCTAATTTCTAAAGGTTATTCAACTTTATCTTATTTTGGTATTGCACTTTCGTTTTAGAAATGTGGTTTTTATTTTATTGCTAAATGGGAAGGATTAAAAAGGATGGCACTTTTATTTTTCTATTTAGAACATTTTGGCACTTTTTTATCCTCAATATGGCACCTCATAGNTTAATATTTCAAAATATTTTTGTGAAATCCTTTGCGTGCACTTCTTTTTCTGAACTAAAATTATCTAATTTCTAAAGGTTATTCAACTTTATCTTATTTTGGTATTGCACTTTCGTTTTAGAAATGTGGTTTTTATTTTATTGCTAAATGGGAAGGATTAAAAAGGATGGCACTTTTATTTTTCTATTTAGAACATTTTGGCACTTTTTTATCCTCAATATGGCACCTCATAGCTAATGATAGCTGGCAGCCCTGCTGCTTGCCATCTAACAACTTGGTTGCACTGGTGAATGTTAACAGCTCTGCCTCTGCCAACAGCATAGACAATCGGTCGGAGCTTTTCGCAGCTGTGTGTTTTGGAAACAAGTACTATTTCTGCTTATACAAATAATTGGGGGATATTAGAACTTAACTTTTAGTCTAATATATACTATAAACGATGGCTATGGTAAACGAAGCACGTATAGCATTGAACCGTGTGGGGATAATCGCTGGACGGCAGCAGGTAATTTATGTTACTTATTATTCAGCAAAAACTAGGAATAGCACCAATAGAACATAAAAGAACTTGTATCATAAAATTTTCGTTACATAATAAAACATGTTGTTATTGTTTTTAAAAAGTAAACAGCACTGTGAGCTTTACACTCAGCTTAAATAATGAGTATGATGTGATTATATAAAAGCGAAATGCAATTTCACAATTGTTAAAATTGCACCTTCCGGCACAGCAGCGCCCTGCATGTAGCATATGAATGTACTAGGGATGTTTCGAATTTCATATTTTGCACATCGGCGAATGCGAATGTTAGGAATAACATTAAAGCTTGTAAAAAAGCTATAATCAACTTAAGTCATCGTTTTATTACATAAAAATTTTGCAAATTATTAGAATATTTAACGTGTGCTTAAGACATGCTCACAGTGTTTTAATCTAGTAGTCAAAGCTTAAAAGGGGCATATTATATTTCAAAAGAAGTAATTTTGCTGGCTTTTCTCATGAGGCGATTTCTTAGAGGCTCGTATATAAGGTCGGAACGCTGGCAGGAGGAGCGCCCAAATATTTGCGGGCCAGATCTGTCAATTGTCGTATTATAGTTTAGTTGGTCTCCAGATTCTAAAATTATTTATTTCAATGTTGCTTGATATACTACTTAACCGTTTAGCGCCTGAAGCTAAAAGCCGGTTATTGTCCGCACCCTGGTTAGACAGACTAAGAGCCATTTCAACAATATTAGAGGGGACTCTCTGTCCATGTACACATTCGCATTCGCAAAACATTCGTATCATTTGATGCGAATGCGAATGTGTAAAATGATGCGAATCATTCGCATAACGAATGCAAATGCAAATATTCGCAACATCCCTGGTATGTACATACATATCGCTCATCATTTCGCGCACGGATCTTCAAAAGTGACAACTCTAAATTTGGCATTTTTGAAATTATGCATAAAAATGTACACAGAGCTTTTAGTTATATTTCAACAAAAGGTGGAGGAAATTTTTGTTATAATTAGTTGAAAAACCCTAAGGGAAAGTATCCCTTGCCCATATGATTAGCATTTCTGACGAACGTGTTATTTTGAGTTTTGTCACTTTTGAAGATGGTGTGCGATTTGCTGCAGTAGTGTCATAATCCAAAAACTCGCGAAAAACATTTTCTTTTCATTAGTGATTGTTAATCGATATATCGTCACCTGAAATGCAAAATAACTTATCATCATCGTCACTGAAATGAAAAGAGTGGTAACTTATAAAAAATTCAAAATTCACTTTTTGATTGCTATGATGGATTTCATTAAATTACAACTCCCCACATATGTCCCCACATCGTTTTATGAAAAAAAAAAAAATAAAAAAAATTGTCACGACTTTCCATTTCAGTGACGATGATGATACGTTCTTTTGCATTTTAGGTGACAATATGTAGCTATGCAATTTTTACACAACAAAAGAAGAGGTGGCGGTCATTTCTGTATACTTAGCGCAAACAATTATCGTTTTTGATTATGACACTCTTGCAGCGAATAAGGGATATGTACATATATACATATCGTCGGTGACATCGTCGATCTTGCTGTGAATCCTGAGCGACATATAGCTGACAATGACACTGGTGAGAATGTCATGCAGGTGTACTCCTATCAAAGACTTATAAAAGACAATGTCTTGCAGCGGTTATTTATAAAAAGTTCATTGCAGAACATTGTCCCTTGAATATCATCAATGCTGAATATGCTGCAGCTTTCATAATAGAAATTACGAGTACATAACTTAAGTACATATTTACTCTTCTACTTTATATTTCGGCGGTAGTTGCGTTCACTCACTTCTGGTAAGCACTTGGACCAACAAGCCCAACCCCAAGAGGCAAAGGCACCCCAAATCAAAAGCTTTCAAATCTATCGCTGGAATCCGGACAATGCTGGAGAGAAACCCTTTATGCAGACATACGAAGTCAATCTGCGCGAATGCGGCCCCATGGTCTTAGATGCTCTGATTAAAATTAAGAATGAAGTTGATCCTACATTGACTTTCCGGCGTTCATGTCGTGAGGGAATTTGCGGTTCATGTGCTATGAATATCGGCGGAATAAATACTTTGGCTTGTATTAGGTAGGTAACTTCAATGATAAAATGAAATTTATTATTTATAGTGCTTTTGCAGCAAGATCGACACAAATCTTTCGAAGCCGCTTAAAGTGTATCCCCTACCACATATGTATGTAGTTCGGGACTTAGTGCCTGACTTAAACAACTTTTATGAGCAGTATCGGTCAATTCAACCATGGCTACAACGCAAGTGAGTTGAACGTATTCATTAGTGATTTCAAACATTTAATATCAATATTTCATTGAAGAAATGAAGTTGGGGAATCAAAGGGCAAGGCACAATACTTGCAATCTGTGGAAGACCGATCAAAACTTGATGGATTGTATGAATGCATTCTGTGTGCTTGCTGCTCAACCTCGTGTCCGTCGTATTGGTGGAATGGAGATAAGTACCTAGGACCAGCTGTGCTGATGCAGGCATACCGTTGGATTATTGACTCGAGGGACGAAAATACCGCAGAGCGTTTAAGCAAATTAAAGGATCCCTTCAGTGTGTACAGATGTCATACAATCATGAACTGCACACGCACTTGCCCTAAAAATCTGAACCCTGGTCGCGCTATCGCTGAAATCAAAAAATTACTTTCAGGAATGGCAAGCAAACCCGCACCGAAACTTGATACAGCAGCTTTGCATAAGTAAATACTGCGTACATATGTATGTAAATGCGAAACTAAAAATGTTCTAATCCAAAGTCAAACTTTATGCTTAACTCTCACAGCCAAGTTGTTTTTGTTTTTTTGTTTTCATTTTAATCGGCGAAAAATTTAAGGTTATTTACTGTACTTAAAAAATTGCACCTGTTTTTTCAACTCATCTTACGAAATACAATTTTTAATTGAGCGACCTTATATCCAGCAGTTGCATTCCATTTTTTGCTGCAAGAGTGCCATATTCCAAAATCGAGTTAAATAAATACGCAGAAATATAGCGGTTGCGTAGAAATTTCATAGCTGTATAGATTGCTAGAACAAAATATGTATTCAAATTTACTATGGGCACGTTCAGAAGGCGCAACAGCTCAGTAACTGTTGCCATTGCACCTTCTGAACGCGTTGTTGTGTACTTCTGATCAACTGAACTGTTGCGTGTTAGATGATCGTAATATTTTTCTGGTCATTTGAGACAACATGTTGTTGAGAGTTGAATTTGACAGCTAATGCATAAAGCCGTTCAGAAGACGCATAACGATCATTGATTTTGTTAGCAATGGTTGCGCTAAACTGCTGCGCCTTCTGACCCTACCCTATGTGAGTGGTGGCTAGCAAAGAATCCATCGTAGCCCGATTTATCGTGATATCTATGAAAATGTGATCATTGAATCCGAATTGCTACGAACGTGTGTATTCAAAGTATACGCTACGTTCGTAGCTATTCGAATTCAATGACTGCATTTTCGTAGATTTCACGAAAAATCGGACTACGATGCATTCTGTGATAGCACTGAGTATAGTTCAATTCAAAACTTCAAAGCCGTTTTTCTAGAGCTTTTTATTTTTTGCGCCAGATGTGCGATATATATGCGTGTAAAACATATCGCAAGCTTAATATATGTATGTACATGTATAAAGAATTTATTCAAAATCTACGTTTTTGGAAATTTTTTTCTATAATCTCCAATAAACATTGGGCTTTCTTAAGAATTCGATAATGATTGGAACCCCATATTTTTTGATAACGAATGTGCAATAGGTTAGTATTCGATTCGAGAACTATGGGACCATTATCCAGCAAAAGGGAAGCTTGGTTATCCAATGTATCCCTTTGTTATGAATTCGAAATCCAGCCCATTATCGAAAATGCACATACAACTTGTATGGGACCAACCGAAATTGAACGGCGTGCGTATGAAGCTAAGACTGCTTTTACACAGTTCAAGTATTGAATTCAATTCAATAGAAAACACAAAAGAGAATAAGCAACAATTGCTTTCAAGTACTTGAATCATGTAAATCGGGTGTAACTCAATTTCCAATTTTTGTTCTGCGTAACATTTTGATTTGACGTTTCGCTCAATGAAATCAAATGCAAACGCACGCAAGCCAATTTCGAGTGACGCAAAAAAAACAAATTCGACGGCGTGCATACCAAAACGCAATTCGAGTGTACAGTGAGCTCGCGATAATCTTAACATCCTAACATACCATCGCTACCATTGACTACTCTAAAATATGAACTTTAGGCAAAAGCTCCAAAATATGAACATTATTGTTTTTAAAAATTTCTAACGGATTTCAAGCGCTTGGTAATTTGGGGAACCCCCTAGCTATTTGCATTGGACATGTCCATACGTGTCGCTCGGAAATGCTTACAGTGAATAACTTCATGTTCGGTTTTCTTATTGTTAGATATGCCATGTTTTTTTAACGCAAGAAATCAAGTTTATTTGTTAAAAAAAACTTGGTTTAGAAAAAAAATTTAAAATTGCAATGTAAGTTTTGTATTTCGTTTATCAAGTCTCGGCTAATAGAAAGTTTATATTTTGTATGAGTTTGTTTGGAAATTTTGAAAATCGGTTATTGTGGTGGACAAGAGGTCGGTTAAGGTATTACAACACCCTCCATAGGTAATTTTTAATTACTTGAACACCACGATTATTCTAGATGCCAAAAATAGGGGAAATCCGAAAGTGGACCCAAAACAACATGATATAGATGATAACAGCTGCGTTATCGCAATGTGGTAAAGTATACCACATTATTCTACCATATTACCCTCCAATTTTTGAAAGAGGTATTTTTTGGTTTCTTTTAAATTTTTTTCAATAACTTTGTTATTTTTGAATACAAGTAGTATTTAACTGAAAAATATTTTATAACTTAAGTTTCACTGTTCTCGTATAATAAATAATAGTTACAATAAAGCTCGTACATTTGCTACATATCTTAAAATCAATACCTATACCACAATACCCGAAGTTCCCCTGCATATGTGGATTGTTATTTGTGTAACAAACAAAACGAATACAAGTTTCTTTTTAAGTTCTAAATAAAACATTTTTTTTTAATTAATGAAACTTGTTGTTTTTTAATCCTTCAGCCTTTCGTAAACATGAACAATCTCGCAAAAATTAACCGGCTTGGTTTTAATAAGTTCATGTTATCGCGAGCTCACTGTATTTCTAATTTACTCTGAACGTTGGAAAACTAAAGTTGGTTATGAGTTCGTTCTCAGTTCGATATTCATATTGGACTTCGAAGGGCTTTTTCGAACGTTCGCCACAATATTTAATGGGATTAATCAGTTTGATAAGGATAATATGTTGAGTCCAACAGATAATTCAACTCCCCAAAATAGGCGAAGTTACATATCGTCGTTTAAAGTACAAAACCGCGTATCGTCATTCTGCAAAATCGCTTAACTGACATTTGCTGCTCTTGGCTCAATCCTTATCAATTCGTCCTGAAATATACTAGCCAGAAATGCGATTGCTTTATAAAAAAAGAGAACCATGTACATATTTGGCTTTCCAGCTGTTTTCGAATACCAACTATATGAATTGATCAAACTATGCGTTTTCCCACAATACTTAAATTTTGAAATAATTCTTATTATTAAACGTGTGATATGCAAATATTTAAATCTTAAAGCAGAACTACTACTGCCTTTTTAGAGCAAATTATAATTTTTTATGAATAAGCTAAGATATGTACGTACCTTCAGATTTTTCCGCTTCATTTAAGCTCAATATCATTGTGTAAACAATCCACAATACTCAATATTTCCCAAAAGGTGCCAAAAATAAAATGCAGTTTTTATGCTTAGCAGCTTTTTTTTTTTTTTGAGATTTGAGTAGGTTGGCAGGTTTCCCCAACGCCAGGTTATCCCTCTGCTTTAATAGATCTGTAGCAAGAATGATAGAATACAAGATTGCGCCGATCAGAGAGGATTTTTGAGAATAACTTTTGTGTGACGTCACACTGGTGCAATTGCGAGAGAGAAATGCCAAAACGTGAGCAAGAATGGAAGAAGAAGAAAAAATGTTGCAAGGAAAACGTAAACAAGTTGCACCAGTGTGACGTCATGCAAACAACGATTCTGTCAAATTCGTTAAGAGAGGAATAGCGGTCCGAGATCGGCGCAACCTTTATATTCTCTCAATCGTGGATCTGTAGCAATGTTACACGAGAGTGCTGCTTAGCAGCTTATGATGCAATCGCCAATTTGACTCAAATAGTTAACGAATCGGATACAATAATTTGCGGAAAAGGCGGCTATACTTGGCGTTTGTGAAAAGTTGAAACTGTTAAGAAGTTGGCAGCACTTATTCAAAGAAGTAATGCCAAATAGCGATATCGCGTACCTAATGTCAAAAAAAATGTCTAATGAATTGCATTTACCCTCTTTTATATAAATTTTTGCCGGAAATTTTTTAAATAAGTTGCATTTTATTTTCAATATTTGAGATGTTTTCGGTTATTGAATTAATGAACCTACTGAATACTATACCAACGGATTATAAAATGCCCGAGGACAGTCGTTTCGTTGCAGCAAATCAAAAATACTTACTAGAATATAAAAAACTAGGGGTTATTACAATCGCCGATGAATTACAAGGAGCAGTGGCGTCAGGCTCTACTGAGTTTTTCTGTAATGTGCCCGGCTGCCAACAAGTCTGTGAAGATGCTTCTACATATCAGACACATTTCAACAATGTTCATAGGTATTTGTGTTCCATTTGTCGCCGGTCACTACCTACTCCACATCTGCTCGATTTACACATTTCTGAACGACATGATTCGTATTTCGCAACTCGCGTAGATCGTGGTGAAGCGATGTACTCCTGCCTCCTGGAAGAATGCAAAGCAAAAATGCTTACTCAGGAACAGCGCAAAGATCACTGTATCAGAATACATAAATTTCCGGTTAATTTTAGATTTGAACACTTTTGCGGAAAATCCAATAAAAAGAAAAAAAGTAAAACAGAAACCACCGAAGCCGCTGATCCAATGCACGTTTTTGATGCCACAGGAAGTGAAATCAAGGCAATATCATTCGGTCTTCCAAGGGAAAGAACATTCATGCGTAAAGACACCTTAAAAGACCTTACTTTACTAAAGGATGCATTAGATGAGATATAACGAGGAAAGTACTGTTTATTTTGATTTCGTAGTTTATTTCATTTTTTTGAGGTTTATTTTATAAATAACTATGCAATCAATAAATAGTTGCGGTGGTCTATTTAGTTTTAGCTGAAGTTCTGAAAGAAAAGCACAGGTAAGAACATATTTTAATTCATGAAATCAATCTTACGGAGTGGCGTTGGCTGTTATGTAGTGGTACGCTACCACTAAAAGAAACAGAAAAACGCCCAACACGTTGGAGAAAATTGCCAATTGTACATCGCTTATCATCTTGATACTTGGGAAAAGCTGTAAACAAAAAATATACATACGTAAATGTGAATGTGTAGATAATGGCGTTTACATAGCACCGGCAGTGACACGTCATGGCCCTTTCTCAATATTAAATGGAAAATATATAGCGAAAAAGTGATCGTATATGAATTTCCTACAAAACTTTAATGGATATATGTATAGATGTTAGCTTACTTTGTTTTAAATAATAATCTTGGTCCTAAAAATCAACACTATTTCCTGCGAACGGTGAATCAAAATTATTAAATTGTCAGAAGTTGATAGAAGACTGATTTGGTAGCACTCAAGGCCAAATTCGCCTTGGTGGTGTTCAAGGCGAATTTATAGTTACAAGGTGGTGTTACTGGCGAATTTATATTTTCGGCGCGGTACTGCTGAATGTCAAAATGATGTGTTTGTTGTAATATGAATTTGCATTGTTTACAACAAACTTATCATTTTGACATTCTATCGATAGCCCAGAATAGTTGTGTTTCTTGGGTTAACGAAAGCGATCTGGATCATTCTTACAGGCTAACCTAAAGGCTAGTTTTCACACTGTCAAATTCAGTGGCATTTTTCGTCAAATAAGTGAAAGCACATTGTCAAATGGTATTAAAAAGCGGTTCGGCGATTGATTTGGATCAAGATAGGTAGATAACAAGAACGGACAACTCGTTATAATTGTAGCGAAAGTGCGCAACAGGGGCGTGCCTTCTCTTTTGCCCTAGTGCGTTTTTTTATTGGATGAAAAGAGCAGGCACGCCCGTCTCGTCAATGTCCGGTAAGTATTCGATACCAAGGCGAATTTATACAAGGTGGTGTTAACAGAACTAAAACAAAAATTACAACAACAAATTATACGCTCTTTGACAATCACTACAAAGCCAAATTACAACAAGCACATGATTTTGACAAAAGGTACAAATTCGCCGTGAAATCAGCGGATCCGATAACACCACCTTGTATAGATTCACTTTGTTCGATACCGACTAAGTATCGATGCTTCCCACCCGATACTTAGTCGAGTACCGATACTTTCTAGCGATACTTGAAACGAGTAAATGTATCGATACTATATTGGTATCGTTTGATCCGTACTCAGTGCTGCCGTTTTACCGCTTTGGTGACTAGATTTAGCTACCACATACTTTTTTTTGGCCACGTAAATTTAAAATTGCCCCTATCGTTTTGGTGAATCTATTCATACTTGGCATGAAAAAGTTGTATATTCTTAAATTGATCTAATTTTTTCATTTATGTAAGGGATGAATTTTTAAACTATGAAAGACTGATATAAATACATATATGTATGGTATGTTCCTTACTTTTTATATATGCTTGATTTTTTAAAGGGGCCCATCAAGTCGATTGACCGTAAATGTTCTTGTGGTGTGATTGTACCAGCTGCTGGTGCGACTTCAAAAACTATTTGAAAATTTGCATGCTGGTGTAGTGTGTGGTGAAATTAGCTAATTTTTCAAGTAAAAAGTATTTTGGCTGAAATTACTTGCACGATATGCATATGCGTTCTGAAACCTAGTTGTCATCCCCATTTCGAAATCATGTAGCCGGCATAATTTTTCTAGTTCATCATATTCCACACTTTTAAATGTACTGATAAAATCTTCTGCTTAAAAAAAATATTTCTTCTAGTGATCAGGTAGCATGAATTTGATGAAATGTCATAATTTTATTAAAAGTCAAATGGTTAACAACAACAACGAATGCCATTAAATGAAATCTACCTTCTTATTTGTATCATGGACTGGAAGTGCTTTACTAAAATCCGACTTTTATGATTAAAAAGTCGATTTTTGTCGAAAGTCGAAGTCGACTTTGCCAACCCTGCACTACTTGGTTATAATTCATCAACAACGTGCTGCAAGTTTTATATTTGGCTAATAAATAGACCTAAAAAAATAATAAAAACTTCAGAAAATCTGGCGGAATTATGCTATTGTTCTGCCCGACTTGTGGCAATATATTGATGGTTGAACAGGATACAGCAGGGCACCGATTTTCATGCAATACATGCCCATATATTTGTAATATAAAACGAAAAATTTCAACTCGAACATTTCCACGATTGAAGGTAAGTTAATTAATTTTGGTAATGTATTTCTCGTAGATTATTTACGTTTCTTCTTTATAATCGATCTCAGGAAGTTGATCATGTCATGGGTGGTGCAGCCGCATGGGAAAATGTAGATTCCACCGACGCTGAATGTCCTGCGTGCTCTCACAAAAAAGCTTATTTTATGCAAATGCAGACCCGGTCTGCGGATGAGCCAATGACCACATTTTATAAGTGTTGCAATCAAATTTGTGGCCATAACTGGAGGGATTAATCCTGTTATAGGCTTTATCAAAATCAAGTCATATGCGCATTGTTGCAAAGTTTAAAACACTTTTGGATGCCTATCGGCATCCATGGTACCTACTCCTTTTTTCGACATACTATAAAATGCTTCCAGCTTCACGGGGAAAAGTCTTCGACGTGCTAGACCCCATGGCTTTAAATGCTGCTCGCCACTGTCTATTTAACGGAGAGATTATCGCTTTGCCTACGGATACTGTGTATGGTCTAGCGTGTAATGCAAATAACGAGGAAGCCATACAACGACTATATGAAATAAAAGGACGTGATTGTTATAAACCAGTTGCGATTTGTGTAAAAAATGTGGAAGCTTTTCGCCTCTATGGGAAATCGGACCATTTAAATGATTCCCTCTTACAGCTCTTGCTACCGGGCCCAATTACTATAATTATCGAACGTTCACCACATCTAAGTAATCGGTTTCTAAATCCGAATACCACAAAGATTGGTATACGTATTCCTAGATGTAAATTTATACAGGACCTATGTTTATTATTTGGTGAACAACCACTTGCTTTAACAAGCGCCAACAGATCGGCTGAACGCAGTAGTTTAAATATAAAAGAATTCGAATTCTTATGGCCTAAACTTGGAGGGATTTTTGATGCGGGACAGATAGGCCTAACTGAAGAACGTCGGTCTGCGTCGACTGTGATAGATTTATCCCAACCTGGACTTTACAAAATAGTAAGAGAAGGCGTAGCTCTTAAGTACACTGTGGATGTATTACACAAATTTAACATAAAATCAATGGCTTCAAAAATAGTGTGAATAAAAATACTTAAAAATATCAGATTTTAATATTTCTAAAATTTCCGATATTCTTACTACGGTTCAAAGTTTATAAAATGAATCAAAGTATCTTGAAAATTTAAAATGATGTACATACATACATAAAATCCCACGCCTCAAAAGCCCTGCAAACCAAAGTTCCTGAAATCTTAACGAAATTTTTAGGAGTATCTTGGGAGTATCTCATTTCTGTAGCGATTTTCCTACCAACCTTTAAAGAAAATTATATGAAGTGGTTGGTTCGTAAAGAATTTCTGCACGAAAAATAAAGAAATTCTGAAAAAAATCTGCAAGAAATTCTTCACTGCAACATTATTTGCACTGCCTTACCGATTTTCTTTCAGTTTACAAAAATCGGATGAGATCTTTGCCAATTCTTTAAAATTTCTCTACAATTCAGAATACTCTGAAAAAATTGAAAAAAAAAATGGTTTGCAGGAAGCTTTTCAAATTTACAACATTCAAACTGTAGCATTTCTAATGTTCCTACTGGCTGTAGTAATTTGATGATTTCGCTATTTGGATAGGCCTTCGCCGCCGAGGTAGGTCTGTTTGTAGTCGGCGCCAACGTTCTGGAGGCCACACGATATACGTCGCCCGAGCGGTCATTAAGCCCAGCGCCACGGGCCCAAAAGTATTACTATCTAGCGAATGGCCTGTGTGGTCACCTTCAACCCAGCAATGACCTTCCGGGATGCGCACTATTTCTTGTTTGTACCCTAGCGTAGAAACAACATCTCCTTGCAGTCCAACGATGCGTTTAATTATCTTTTGTGAAGGATCTTTCGGAGATATGAGCGAAACAATAGCTCCGCGTTCCACATTACTTGTGCGTACGGCCCAGCGTGAAAGAAAAACATAATCGGTTTGGCTAGCATCTGGATTAAGGGCAGGTTGCATTGAAATACCTAAAATATATTGCATTTGTATCTTTGTCTCCTTTCTCTATAATTCAAGCAAACCCCTCGTTACAGACGAAACATTTGGTTTTCAGTCCGTTGTTTCAGAGGTTCCAGGTGAAAGCACATATTTACCGTCTACTCGCGCGACATAGCCAACGCAATCCAAAAATGTTATACCAATTGGAATTCCCAGAAGTACAGATTTTAGAAATTTCCGAAATGCCATTAAACAAAAGCCCTGAGCGAACGATCAACACTCCTTTCTGTTGTTTCTCCTGTAGGGCACTTAATGATAGCACGTTTGATACTTTTTTATGTGAATTATTTTTTATATAAAATATAAGTACAATTTTTTTTTAATTATTTTGTTTTTGATTTAGAGATAATTTCAATTGGAGCGATCCACTCCATTTCTTCCTCACAAAAAACATGGAAAGCAATGCTTATCTAAGAAAGGTTCTGTTCGTTTAATAAACGCAGTGGAAATGTCATAAAGCCATTATGTTTAGATATAGAACGAAGGTATCGAGCACTAATATTTTAACCAAATATTGAGTCAAGCATTTCGAATTTTCAAAGAACGAAGATATTTTAATTATAGACGGGTAAAGGATTTTTTAGTTTAGTTAGGCCAAAACAAAGACATTTTATTAATAATAATAAAATTAATACCGCTTCTAACGAATATCGTCGTCGGTGTCACCTTATGCCAAAACCTTCAATTCAACACCGTTCCCCCGTGAATGTAAATAAGTTAGGTCGGTGTTATGCAGAAATTTTGTTTGGCAAACTGCGTGCAATTGTTGTTGCAGCAAACTCGGAGAGAGCGAGTTTGGCGACTCTCACAGCAAACTAATTTTGTTTGGTCAAACTGCAGCAAATTCGGTGTTGTCATATACAAAAATTTTAAATTTTGCGCGTTATGTACATCTGAAATTCTCATTTCGTGTTGGCAATAGCCATGAAAACCATAATGAACGTGCAACCCTGTGCCAAACTCGNAGGATAGTCCTCTCAAAAAAATGTGTAAGAACAAAATATGTAGTGAAATAAGAATATTGTTTTCATGTATGATTGTGATCCTGTGATGTAATGTATGCATATATCAATATAAAAACTATAAACCCAAAATTGTACCAAATAAAATAGTAAGCAAATATTGTAAATTTTCAGACTTGTTATAGGCCTTTAAAGGCTGTCAATAAATGAATAAATAAATAAATAAAAAATAAATAAAACTTTTCAAAAGCGCCCTATTTCAGAATTTGAGTAAAAAACGACCTATCTCAGAAAACTTTGCAAGAAAGCCCTATTTCAGAACTCGGTTCAAAAACGCCTATCTCGTCTGCCGATTCAAAAACGCCGTATCTCAGATATTTTCAATATACTTTCAGTTGAGGTAAGGGCGTTTTTGAACCAAATTCTGAAATAGGGCGTTCTTGAAAAGTTTTCTGAGATGGGGCGTTTTCGACCTGGCTGCCGAAATGGCTCGATTTTCTTGTAAAAATATATCCACACTTTAGATTTTGGCGGTGCCATTGCGTAAAGCAAAGTTTCTTCCATCGAAAAAATATGGCCGACCAGAAATGGCACTTGCTAAAATCTATTCGATACAAGTAAGTATTTTTCTTTCGATACCAATTAGGTATCGAAACAACGATTCAAATAAAAAAAGTAGTTGGTATCGAAACAAAAGTATCGAGTTCATACTCGTATTTACTTGTATCGGAAGCTCCCTACACGTAAATGAAAACAATTTTCTGAAGTGTGGAAGAACAATTTTATTAGGTAGTAAATTATAATTCCTATGCAAACCACTCCAATTAGTTGTATCGAACGCAGTTAACATCGGCTTAAATATTTTAGATCTTCATCGGCTTTCAATGAAGGATTGATGAGTGGCGTGAATTCTAACATTCGTTAATTACTTTCATGTTAATAGGCAATTAATAAGGCGTTCGAGTAGTTCATTAACAGCTTTTGCAATGCGTAGACAGCGGTAAGATTTTGCATATGTGTAGTCATTCAAACAATTATTTTGTTATTCTTAGAAAAAATCACCAGTCGGAGGATATTGATATTAATACTCGTCAACCAACCAACATGTCATATACGCCATTAAATAAGGAGTCAAATAATGTGGAAGATTTTCTTCAAATGGAAAACTTGACGCGATTTAATACGCTGGAGAAGAGACCATCACATCGCTTTGAAAATACGATTGAAGCTAAAGTAGAAGAAGGCGATACTTTGCAAGCGTTGGCGCTCCGTTTTCATTGTTCAGTGAGTTAAGACCACAGACCTTCGCTTGTTGCAATGTTTGTGTGATACTAAAAATTTAAATTTCTTATAGGTGGCAGATATAAAACGAATAAATAAGATTGACAAAGATAATGAAATTTACGCGAGAAAAGTAGTCAAAATTCCCGTTACTCCACATTCAATATTATTGGAAACTCTACCAATTGTCCACAAAAGTGGAAGCAATAGTCCAAGTCAATGCGAAGATGATACTTTGGTGACAAATATAATGAAAAATCCTTTGGAAGATGCGAGAGTTGTGTTGGGTGAGAAGCTTATTGTAGCATCAGTGAATTCCTCTAGCACCACCAGTCAAGGCACCAATGACATCAACAATGAAATTATCAGTTCAAAATTTATAAGAAAGGCAAACGCTTATACGGAGGAAGGTGAGTGCAAAATTACTCGTTAAATTTTTGGCAGTGTCTGCCCACACGCACCACGGTGACTTTTACCGTAGATCCGCGGTAAAAATTACCGTAGATCTACCGTAAAATTACGTGGATTATGTGTTGCCGGAGAAGTGGGGCAGAACTTCTTTCGGCATAATAATTTTACCGTGGATCTACGGTAATTTTACCGTGTATGTATATACGGTAATTTTTACCGTGGCGCGTGTAAGTAGACACTCTAAATTTTTATGTAATATTTGTAATACTTATGTACACTGCCGGCAAAAAGTATTGGCACAGCTGCTTTTTTACAATATATGCAACAATTTTTATTGTAATATTTTTCCGACAATTTTTTATAAAAATATGGTTCATCCATTCATTGCTGAATTTTCGCGAGTTTTGCACAAAGTATAGAAATATATTTTTGTGTTTTTTGTTGTGGAATGAACGATATTTTTATAAAAAATCTTCCGAAAAATATTACAATAAAAATTGTGGCATATATTGTAAAAAATCAGCTGTGCCAATACTTTTTCCGGCAGTGTATGTATGTACATATGATTATTTTTGGTTACTAAAAAACGTAAAGAGAGAATG